CTTTACAAATTAGTTGAAATGGGAAATGGCGCATTAAAATATCCAGGATGATGTTTGTACATGACAATGCATTTGGCAGAACAAAGAAAGGCGATCATAAATTCCTCCATAGCCTCACAAGTGCATCTGCGGTGACAGCGAAGGTTCTTCTGAAGGTCATTCATCATGATTAAAGAGGACTCTCGGCAATGATTTTCAAATGACCCTCGGGATATCTCGACCAACGACACGTCTTCAAGAGAAAATTACTTTATTGTGCCCTGGGACACCTGATTTAAGACTGACGGTGGCCATCTTGTAGACAGTGGGACAGTTTGGAGTGATGTGAGCAGGAATACAGATGGCAAACAATAGGCCACACGGAAAGACTTGACAGAGTCCAACATGGAGATGAAAAGGAATGACGCTGTCATGAAGATGAAGATGATCGCAATACATCGAGGCACGTTGTCAAACAGCATGCATTTAGCGACCGCATGCTAGCTCAAGGCCAGAATCTGGTTCATCTACTCAGCCCCAGTGAGAATACGGTGCAATCACAGCACACACACCCAACACACACACACACACACACACAGCGACACACTCGTTTTTTTTTTCTTTCAGGCACCGATACAGAGGTTTTAGTTGTAGCGGCACTGATGGCGTGACGGCCAATTTCACCTTCATACACTTTGTGTGCGTGCGGCCGCTACAGTGGGACAGTTTGGAGTGATGTGAGCAGGAATACAGATGGCAAACAATAGGCCACACGGAAAGACTTGACAGAGTCCAACATGGAGATGAAAAGGAATGACGCTGTCATGAAGATGAAGATGATCGCAATACATCGAGGCACGTTGTCAAACAGCATGCATTTAGCGACCGCATGCTAGCTCAAGGCCAGAATCTGGTTCATCTACTCAGCCCCAGTGAGAATACGGTGCAATCACAGCACACACACCCAACACACACACACACACACACACACACACACACAACGACACGCTAGTTTTTTTTTTTTTTCTTTCAGGCACTGATACAGAGGTTTTAGTCGTAGCGGCACTGATGGCATGACGGCCAGTTTCACCTTCATACACTTTGTGTGCGTGCGGCCGCGATAATCGCCTTGAGCTACGAAAGCAGGAGATTCCCCCGGAGATCAGCTCACCCAGGTTGGCTTTGACATCATACCACACACACGCACGCACTTTTGATATCTACGATATGTAAACAAGCAGGGTTATGAGTCTGACCTTCACGCGTGATTTAAAGTGAAATTCTGAAAAAAGTGGCAGAGGGGAAATAAAGAAAGGCTACGATAATGCTGACTACCTTTAGGCTTAACGGTTTTGTCAATGTAAATCATACTCAACGACGGTGCTGCAGTATTTGTAGTCATCACCGGGAGGGCCTGAGCAGGAGTCGAATCGATTCATGCGGAAACGCTGCCATATTATTTGAAATCCTTTACGCATTAAAATTGTTGCTGTTTGCGAGGCTTTCACATATACCGAGAGGCAGACGGGAGCTGCTGACATCAACAGTGTATGTCACTCTTGTTACTTGGGCTTGCATCATCGCCTTTGGAACGACGACATAAAAACCTCTTCCGTTTTATTACATAGGATTACTCTTAGCCGCTAATGCACCATCGAGGCAAGTCGTTTGTATTTATGCAGCACCAAACCACAACAGAAGTTATCTTAAGGCATTTAATTTAATGGAACAACTACAGGCCTCTCACAGCAGAACCTTTAAAGTCAATCACTATCGGTCATGCGCGGCAATTGAAAACGATAACAAGCTTATTTTGACAAAGCAGGGTGTACAACATCGGGATACCTGTTTACGAATGCAGGGAGGACGAATAAAAAGTAGGCTCTAGATAAATTCATTCATTCATTTTCCGATCCGCTTAGTCCACACAAGGGTCGCGGGGGGTGCTGGAGCCTATCCCAGCTGTCTTCGGGGCAGTCGGCGGGGGACACCCTGAACCGGGTGCCAGCCAATCGCAGGGCACACAGACGAACAACTATCCACGCTCACATTCACACCCAGGGACAATTTAGAGTGTTCAATCAGCCTGCCATGCATGTTTTTGGAATGTGGGAGGAAACCAGAGTACCCGGAGAAAACCCACACTGGCCCGGGGAGAACATGCAAACTCCACACAAGAAGGCCGGAGCTGGAATTGAACCCGGTACCTCTGCACTGTGAGGTCAACGCACTAACCACTGGACCACCCTAGATAAATTAAAAAAAAAAACAACACCACCAAAAAACCCCAACACAAACTCAAATACAGAAACAAAATATTTGTACTTGATGTTACTTCCCACCACTGCTGCTTGGGCTTCAATTATCTTCACTATGCTCGTCCATGTGGCTCAACGCTGCGTCATCTGTCTGGCGTGGCTCTGAAATATTCAAAATGGACAACAATCGCAATTCTTCTGTCAGCAAAAGTATTGGGACACGGTGGAGTCTTACTCGTCTGAATAAGTGAGAGTCCTCTACTCAGGCTCCAAAGCCTTTTCCTGTTGCTTGTTTTTCTCATCTTCATCACAAGAAAAACATGCAAACAAATGCTTTGGGATCTCGTGAGATGTCACACATGATGACGGTTCAAACTCTGGAATGTTTGCTAATTTTTAGGCAAATAGTTTGGAAAAAATGTTGGTAAAGTCTAAAGATTCAGCGGTGGTCAAATTAGAATTTTCCGGTGTAGCACTACAGTCAAAGAAAATTATATTTAAGCAGAAAATAACTCCAGAAGTCTATGTGTACGCAGTTGTAATTTTCACTGAATTGTAGTTAACCTTTCACCCCCGACCCCACAGACGACTGTGGAAATGAACACAAAATTGGCCGCATTGCTTTTCTATAAATCCTTCATCAGGTGCCGTCGAACCACAATATCATTGTGCGTGATATATCATCTACCCAATTCTCTCTCTGATTGCCTCGACAAGCCCCGAGGCTTCAGCGGATGCTTTCCCCGGTCATTACCTTTATTATGCAGCCTGCGAGCCAGCTATTTTCTGCACAAAATCTTTTCCCCTGCAAGACGAAGTGCCGTTGTAACACAGCAGCTGAAAGCGTTCTCATATTCATCAAATTACCGTTTGGAGATTTAAAAATACGGAAATGACAATTCCTGAATCTATAAAGGCAAGTTTAGTTTTCAAGGAACTGGATCCATTTTATATACTGCTCATCCTCGTTTGGGCTGTGGCGCTGTAGTAAGTTAAGTAGCTTGGGAGTGTGAAAAATCACACTGCACTTGATGTCTGGATGCGGTTCCAAATCACACATGATGAAAAAATTGTTAAAAACAAAAAAGACAAAAAACAAAAAGACGACGGGCAAATCAAATGAGATCATGGCCAAGTCTACTTCCATTGTCAATGAATCAAGCTTCTTTGACAAAGCCACATTCTTTCACAATTTAATGTGTTGGGTCTATCAGACGTCTGGATGGGAGCATCGCTGAGGTTTGACACCTAAAAAAAAAAAAAAAAAAGGTCTGAAATGCGAAAGGGAGAATCAGGCTCCATGTGCCGATCTGACTTCACGAAAGAAGTATTTGGACTGGCTGACAGTCAATCGCAGGACACATACAGACAAGCATTCACATTCACACTCACACCTATGGACAATTAAGAACGTTTATATGCATGTTGGGAAATTTAGTAGAGAGTCGGACTACCCAGAGAAAACCCACACAAGCACCGGGAGACCATACAAGGTCCACACAAGAGGGCCCGAGCCGAGATTTAAAACTTGGACCTTGCACCAAAACGGTCAGGTCTGCTGACCACTACTCCACCGTGCCATTTGATCAAGAAACAAAAGACATTTACTTTTCTATCATTTTATTGGAAAAATAGAGCATTTGAGAACACACTACAAAAAAAAAAACCAACAACACAAACATAATACATGACAGTCTCAAAGACAAACTAATAGCACAACAGTTACTAAGTATGTTTCACTGTGCTTTCAATGAATCCAAAGCTGTCATTCGGTTGTTGGAAAATGCGCGCGCTTTACCAGTACAATTATTGTTTTCAGCATGGGGGGGCTGACTACCAAATGTGCGTAAATAGTAGGAGACATTTCATCAACACAGAGATTTCAGAGAGACCCGTATGCCAAGTTCCATGCTAACACTCCATGTTTTATCCGTAGGAAAACCACACAACAGGCTCTGGGACTTTTGATTCATGGCACCCTGTGTGACTGATGACGCAAACAATCAAGAAAATTCAATGAAGTGTTTATTAAGAAAACACCAGCCATTGTGCAGATGATTTTTAGGATTGGTCCACGGATAATAAGGTTTGAAAATATGTCATAATAATATCCACCTCAGTCCCAAGCAACAAAACCTTGATAAAGCTTGCAAATTTTTCCAACATGTTCAAGAGCACATTGCTTATAGTTTGAGTGAAAAGATTCAACTGAGTAGTAAGTTAATCGAGAAGAAAAAAAAAAATCCCGACAAATGTTGCCTGCCAACAAAAACTGTTCATTTTAAGGTGTGAAAACAGTCACTTTTTATGTTTGCCACTCGTATAAGCGCTTTTGGTCCAGTTCAATCAAAACCTCTTTACATCAGCGAATAACACATGGGGACTCATTAATTCACAGTTTGGACACAGTGAAAAAGTCAAAAACCTTTTCAAAGTCATTTGATTCGGAATCAGAATATGACGGAAACGTCAGATAAAATTGTGGAGGTTGATCCAGGTGTCAATTTGTTTTGACTTTTAGACATTTAAAGGCATGACTCAATGAGGGTGTTTGGTTTTTACATCTGTCCTTTTTGTGTTTCTAATGGGTGCCACCACGGATTGAAAAAGGAGAAATATGATGACCACCATAAAAGTGGAACTTATTGCAGTAGACACATTTCTGTCCTGGACTCTTTTTGTACAACATGGCTGAAGCAGCAACAAGTTGACATCAATAGTAATCGAAGAATGATGTTCTATTCTGCATGTTGACGTTAATTGTAAGGTTATATTTGTTTTTAAATTTTAATAGACAGTAGATTAATTGTTTTTGACAATTGTTGCTAATCATGCTTAAAAGTTGACTCCATTCAGTAAAGCTTCTTCACTGCTAGCTTAAAAGCTAGCATTCCATCAGTTGCCATCAGAAGAATTATTAGCGTTATTGCTGTCACCTTTTGTATTCTGTTGCTTCTTCACTGCTAGCTTAAAAGCTAGCATTCCATCAGAAGAATTATTCGCGTTATTGCTGTCACCTTTTGTATTCTGTTGCTATAAAGTTCGCTTATTTTGACAGTTAATTAATGTTTTTTTAAAATGGTTTCAAACAGCAAAGAAAACGACTGGGTTTGAAACGCTGTTGCTATAAAGTTCGCTTATTTTGACAGTTAATGTTTTTTTTAAATGGTTTCAAACAGCAAAGAAAATGACTGGGTTTGAAACTTCAACATGTTTCTCATTGACTGATGTCATTGCAGTTTAGCAGCGTGGCAGAGAAATCAGTAATGCTCGCTCGCAAATTGAAAGTATTTTACAGGATAATTACCAACCACCCAGTGTGTTTATTATCGATTTTCAAAAGCTATCCAAATTAATAGCTGTTAACACAAGGCCACTTAGAAGTGGAAGTGCTGAAATGCCAAAAAACAGCCTCGGATAACATCCGCCTTCACTTTTCACGATTCACAACATGTCGTTGAGCGAACATCAAGTCACCATCATACATTTCTTCAAGCCATGATCACACTTCAAAAGTAGACAATTGTGCCATTCACAAGAAAATGATGCTCTTGATCCCTCGCGTCTGCTTCTTAAAATGATGACCAAATCCTTGTGATCAAGTGGAATTGATTCACACCACAAACAGACTTAACAAAAGCCTTAAAACAACTTTGCGGTGGGGAATTAAAAAAAAGAAGAGCAACAGATTCATCATAAAGTGCAAATCAAATTAGTTCCAACGTGGACATTGTCTGACATTCTTCTTATTGCCTGCAGATAACGTTGGCAAACGTAAATAAAATATGGTGCCCCATCGGTGCCAAGCCTTTTGGCAGAGGAGGTGCTAGAATGATGGTGCTAAAAAGATACGAGGCACTTAGAAGGGCGTACAACTGTTCAACTCTTCATGCTCATAGGCATACGTTTTTCGTTGAAATTCGGTTGGTGGTTAACCATTCCATTTGTGCATCATCCCCAAAAATTGGACACATCATTCAAAAATTAAAGAATGATTTATGAAGCTAATTTAATTAACTCTTTCAGGGTCAGCGGTTACGGCACTACAGTTGACAGATTATCATGTTATCAGGTTACAGGGTGCGTGAAAGGGTTAAGCGGCAGTAAATCAGATACATCCAGCATAATTGCTTATACCGCCTGTGTACTGTATATTTTCAACCGTAAACGATGTTAACGAATCAGCCAATCGGATGGAGTTGATTACTGAGCAACTGTGTTTTGAAGAGAGTGAGGTGAAATTGAGTGCACTATTTTGGCTGCATCCTCCGGGGGTGCTGTCAGTCAGTTTCCGTTACCTGAGCTAAAAAAAAAAACAAAAAACAAAAAACAAATGAGATGACACACAGACTGAGTGTGTATATGTTGGTACTGTTCATGAACTGGTCAAAAGTTTTTGTTCGTAAACAAATTTCTTTGTGAACAGGGACGGTCCACTTAATGAAACAAAAATAATGTTTTTTTTTTTTAAATTACGAAGCACAAGAGGGCACACTCACTTACAGCTGTCCCCCCTACCCCTATTTGTTTTCTAGGATGATTACGCCGCCCTGTTACATAAAACAGGATGCTAAAATGGTAAAAGAGTTTTAACACCACAATTCCTCCCAACCACGGTAGAGGCCTTCGCATTGACTCGAGGTCTTATTTAAAAGTCAAAATGGGTTCTTAAAAAAAGTGGACGAGCCTTTGAAAAATTTACATTCTTCTTGTGTGCTTTTCAAACAGTCCATTTGAGTGTCGTTTACAATCTCACTTCAGTCTCACCTCCCGTACACAAGCAACGAACGAGTATCGGGGCCGCGGTGAAGAGAAAAAAACTACAAGTGTGTGCTTTTCAAACAGTCCATTTGAGTGTCGTTTACAATCTCACTTCAGTCTCACCTCCCGTACACAAGCCATGAACGAGTATCGTGGCCGCGGTGAAGAGAGAAAAAACTACAAAGGACGAAATGGAATTTTGAAATGAACCTGCAATAAAATCCAACAATATTTTAAAAATTATTTTGCTGATGATCCTAAATATACCGCCTTACTGTATGATGAGGCATATTGTCTCAAACTATTTATGCTTGCGTCGGAGTTGAAATAATTTTTTGTTATATTTATTTCCTTCTAAAATGATATAAGATGACTATTCGATTTTCATAAGTGATTCGATGAGCATTGACATCATCTTCATCTTTAAAACTTCACGTGGGCAAGTTATCTGCACATTTCTTTCAACTTGGAGACATGAAATACTCTGTAAAAATATTCCCCACTTTTTTATCGAGGGTGCTGGAAATATTGATGTTGAATCGAAACTGTAAACTGACAACCAACCTGCAAAAGTATTCCACATTTGTATTTGTCTTGGGGTTCACCTTGACAAAGGTCAGGTGTGCTCCCTGTCCCTAATTTACAGTGGAACAGGTCTAACGTTGAAGAATGCTGATTTTGAAATTCTACTCGGTCACGCTTGATCAATACCAACTTGACCACATGATGGTAGACGGAAGAATTATGCTCCCTGCTTTAAATAGATATAATACACTATATACATGAAATACATGTAGGCAGAGCTTCACAGATTCAACGCAAACACTAACTTTTTTTTTTGTATTTTCTATAAATAGCAATAAATAATAAGTGATTATCAATGTAGTCAATATTGCCTTTACTTGCCAGTGGTTCCGTTAGAACGAGGTGCGCTGTGGTGTGGCACACTTGAAGTGGAGAAAGATTCTGCTTCGGAAGTGTAGCCGACGTTTTTCTGCAGTTGCTGAAAGTGGCCATGAAAGTTGCGCTGGAAGGAATCCTGGTGGATACCATTCGAATTTCAGAGAAGGATCCATTAGCGATTCCACTAACGTCTTCATGCGGGAGTTCTATTAATGCACAAACATCTGCTTAATCAAGCATAATCACGCTTACGAGGTCTTGACATCTCTTCTTCCGGGAATAAACTTTGAGGAGTTTTCGACATTTCGGCTCTCGCCAATGCAACCTTTCAGTTTGAATATCCACCGAACCACTTGAAAGACTCATCATGGTCCTTGTGGAGAATCCGACGGTTGCGAGCGTGAATGGTTGAGTGAGTGCTGACTGTTTCCTTTGCAAGATCAGATGATCAGTCAGGTTCCATTGGTTGAGTCCCGAGAAAGACAACATAAAGCGAGCGGACGTGTTCATGCAATCTGCGAGCCAACTTCAGAAGACTGCAAGAGCGGGTTTGTCAAATCTCCATTTGCTTATCAGAACATCATGTAGCCATTCAGGGTGGGCATCCGAAAAGCCTTACATTCATCCGGTAAAGAACCAAGTCCATACTCTCCTGGAGAAAATCTGACCCAGAAACATGGGGTCATAACTTTGTATTTCAGATTTCGGTCCGTATACATGCTAGCCATTCCTTTTGAGTTAATGAGTAAATTGTGGTCGAATGTGACTGTGGATCTTAAATGATTCTGACAGCCCGATTATGGCCGCCAAACAAAAACCGGAACAGATCTACATGGCAGCCGTTGGTGCACTAATACCCCACGGGAGAACGGCGCTCGCTGCAGTTTCCAGAAGACAAGAAGCAGAGTATACAGGTCCGCTGGACTCAGTTAACCTGAGACGGGCTGAAAAAGGGAAACGAGACATATTTGTGATATAGCCAAAAAAGTGCTGGTAGCTCTGGGAGTCTACGTTCATGTTTGACTGTGAGAGTCTAAGCGGTGCTGGGATGTGAGCAATCCCAGAGATTGACTCAAACAGAATCCTCTGGATGGAAAGTCTTCAGTTGAATTAGTCCGCCGTGTTCCCTTTGTTGTAAAACCACTCCGTTCCCTTCAGTTTGGTCCGTAACACCATTCACTGGTCCATAGAAAGTATGTTCCTTGACATGAGAAAGTGCGAAGCCGCTCTAGGTCCAACTGCTGTCTTCTTCATACTAGGTCCACCTATGTTGTGCGTGTGTGCGCGCACCTGCACATGCAGTCCGCATCAGATGTTGACGCTGCTATTGGAGTTGTTCATAAGAACTCTCATTTCCTGAATGCTCGTGATGATTTTCTTCTGATGCCCTGCAAGGTTCACCCCAACTCTCCGCAAGTCCCTAAAAACAGCACACAAATCAGTTTATTTCACATCATCGCACCTTCAGTGCACCATGTAAAGTCAAATGGTGGTCGAACTGTTAGCTAGCAAATCAGTGCATGTGATAAACTATGAGGTGGCACATAAAGGCAAAGCACGGGCAAACAAAATGGCAAAATGTTACTTTTTAAATTTGAACTTTTTCCTGCTTATATTTTGAGGATGTGCCCGTACTCGGATGTCATCTGAGTGACCGTGTCCAGTGACGAATATCCTCCTTCCATGAAGAGTTCCGTATAACGGCCCATCTTGATTGAATCCAGCCACTCGCCGACTGTTCTACTCCAGATGTTGCAGTCCGCGTCTACACTGGCATGCTCCACGAGCAGGTTGGACACCCTGAGGACACCAACCGAGACAAAGGCCGTAATTAAGTGAATTGTATTAATGCATACGGTGATTTAGACTCTAGATTTGCCTTTTCCGAACACAAACGAACAAGGACCAAACAAAAATCTGTGTGAGCGACGCACTACAATACACACAGCATTGTATACAAAGAAGCAGGAAATTAGTGCTCACATGCGATAGTGAATGTGAACATTTTGTGTTGAAATGTCTTTAAAAAAAAAAAAAATGTACCATATTTTCCGCATTATGAGGCGCACCTAAAAGCATTTGATTTTCTCTTCTCAAAAGCTGACAGTGCGCCTTATATATGGATCAATATTCCGATTTTTTTGGACGTAATATTTTAAATGTTCTGTAAAGTGCTTTGTTATAGCTGCAGCGGTTGTGAAAGCGCTCTATAAATCAAGCTGTACTGTATTGTATTGTATTGTCTTTAGCGTAGCTCCATCTAGTGGATGCATAACATAACCGCAGCTACGATTGTAGCTTCTATGCGCCTTATAATGCTGTGTGCCCCATATATTAAAACTGTTTCAAAATAGGCCATTCATCAAAGGTGTGCCTTATACTGCGGAGCGCCGAATAGTGCAGAAAATACGGTATGTTTAAAGTCTAAATTCAGCCAACAAGTTAAACTGGTACTAAAAGAGTGTGTCAACAAAGAAATTGAAATTATAGTTTATAGCATACACAGCAAAAAATATGTTTACATAGACTGCTTAGATTAGTTATACGTGTTCTGACATGCCTCTCAAATGCAGCATTCATGCATATTTCTTCTTTCTGTAGAACATTAGTTGATCCCATCAGTAGGTGTCGGGTAGCGTGCTTTGTGTACCTTTTGCATGAGTTTAATTTTTTGAGATTCTTCGAAATAAAGGTCTCTTATCTGTGGAAGATTTTTTTATAGGTTTGATATTAATATGCATGCTTAAATACAGCTCATTGATTAATTCATATTAAAGTACGGTAAAAGGATCATTAAAAAAGACACACACACACACACACACACACGCACAAACCCCCCCAGAAGTTACCCTTTAATTTTTTTTTTTTTTTTTTTTTTTACAAAATGAATCAAAATTGAGAGTTGTTAGGAAATAGAATCGAATTGAGGAACCGGAACCCCTCACATTTAAATAAATAATTTTAGCATGTAAAATATCTTTTTGGCCAAACAGCTACTACAGACTGATGTATTAACCATTACAGAAACATCAACATTTGCATATAAGCATATTTTCTGCGCTTTGACGCGACACATCATCTCACCTTCATTAGTCTATGAATGCACTATGATGCAAAGCTGAAAATACGGTCCACTCATTACTAAGAATACGTTACATTATTCAGGTTCTTCGCCGTGCTGACAAAGACAGAGTGCCAAGCTTTGAAATCCAAACGTTGAAGCCCGCAACCAGCGTTTTCCACGCTGCAGCTCGCTAACAGAAACATCATTATGCAGACGGTCTGGCCTTGCTCCAGCTCCTTTGAACTGTCAAACGCTATTGCATTGGCTGTTACATTGGGAAATTTACTTATTTTCAATGCTTCCCTTTGTAGAAATGGCAGCGGAACGGTCAACGCTTATTTTATTGCCTCTACAAAGGAAATGAGGACTAAATGTCTCCATTACAAGTCATTAATATCATTACACACTAATGTAAAGCAAACTAATTGGATGCAGGAATGCTTTGAAAACCAAGACACCCCACAGGAAACAGTTGAAACTATTGTTTATTTTTCAGAAAATCACTTTTTTTTTCTTTCAATTTATGCTTTTGTCCACCACCCCCCAACATGAGGCGATTGCGGCCTTTGTCCAAAGTGATTTAATTATGCAGCCACACAAGAATTCAAGAGACTCTATTTACATTTAATCTGAATGATGATGAGTTTAGCGCAGAGTTTAATTCACTAGAGAAGGAATATGTAAAGCAATGGGAGGAAGGTGAAGAAAGTGTAATTTAGCAGTGTTTCCCTGCGCCGTAGGTGCCTTGTCTTCGAGACCGAGTTAAAAGAAAGGCAATATAATACCATTTCAATTCCATTGTCTTAAATGTGTCGTTTTCGCTCGTGATGATTACTTCCTTGATCAGCACATTGCAGCCGACTACTGGAAAATGTATGTTTTAATTGTTTGTATACAAATAGTTGTACGTCATAAGTGCCTGCCCACCCATCGAGTGTGAAATTAAATAGCCAAATACATCTTTGCTTCGCAGCATATTTCTGGAAATGAGTCTGAGTGAGCCTTTTGTGCCATACTGCTACATACCAGCGCGCAAAGGAACACAGCAACGGACCCACTTGCCAGATTTCTCCACCAATGACTTGGCAGTGAGGTGAGCTGAAGTTGCAAAGCAAAAAAAAAAAAAAAAGTAAAATAAAACCCACTTTGAAGCAGTAGCCAAAGCACTTGCTAGTCCAAGGCAAGGAAGCAGAAATGCAGTGTTAGCACATGTTAGCGAGAGCTAACAGTGTTAGCAGCATTCACATCCAGCAGTGGGGTCATAGTGTGTGTGTGTGTGTGTGTGTGTGTGTGTGTGTGTGTGTGTGTGTGTGTGTGTGTGTGTGTGTGTATACAAGGTTTGTGCATGATGAGCAGGGATACAGCAAGTGTTTTAGCATCGCTAGATTGTATAAAGCGGTACTTGTATGTACGTAGTTTTGCGGTATGTATGTATGCTATTTGATGTGTTCTCACCTGTGTGAGGAGTTGACCAGATTTTTCAGCGAGCAGGGGTTGCGAATGAGTTTGTCTAGTAGACATACAATCTCATCAAACTTGGGTCGGTTGCTGCGTTCTCGCTGCCAGCAGTCCATCATGAGGTGGTAGAGAGCCTCGGGGCAATCCATCGGACCTGGTAACCTATAGCTCTCTTCGACTGCCTTTATGACCTGCAGAATTGCAATTGAGTTGGGGGATGTTAGTTGGTGACAAGTATAGGATGGCCTACACCTCAGGGCAATTTCTTTATTTTCAAATAAAGAACAGCTGTGTGATGACTTGAAATGTGAAATAGATAGCTGAATGTAATGTTCTATCCCATTAACACCTTTATAACGTAAAACGGATTCATTCACTTTCAAAAACAAGTCTCCCAAACGAAGCTTCGCCGAGACTACGAATTGGCAAGGCCAACGATTTTGAAAATCAACCGCAATGGAAAAAAAAAAAAAATCATGGCAGTGTTCGAGGCCAACAGATTGAAAGATAAACGGCTTCGGTACGCGGCACATCCTGAACTGGAGAAGGCACTTTTCTGAGTGAATGTTTGCAAACTGAATGTTTTCAGGGATGAATTTGGAACGTGACAGGTGTTTGCTTCATGTCTTACTGTATTTGTAATTGACACGTGTATACGGTATTGTGTTCATGTTAATACATCTATAAATGTTCATACTGTATTATACAATCGTAGTTGGTGGCCATTTTATTGGAAATGGTTACAACGAACTACCGTTATAACATACAGATTTGTTATGTCCCTCGAGGTACCTTGTAACAAGGTTGGACTGTGTAGATAGATAGAGAGAGAGAGAGAGAGAGAGAGAGAGAGAGAGAGAGAGAGAGAGAGAGAGAGAGAGAGAGAGAGAGAGAGAGAGAGAGAGAGAGAGAGAGAGAGAGAGAGAGAGAGAGAGAGAGAGAGAGATGTGTATGTGTGCAGAGAGTGTAATAATACACACACACTGTACGCACATTATTGATAAACCAGTTGGATTATACCACAAAAAGCTTTTTTTGTAGCTTTTTGTGGTACTCGTCTTTTTTTATTTGAAGCAAACCATCCGTGCTCATAAAGAAACAAGAATTCACAGACCCATTCACAGCTAGAGACAATTTAGAGTTTTTCATTGAGCGCAGCATGCCTGTTTTTGGAACTTGGAAGGGAGCCGGAGTACCCAGAGAAAAGAAAAACGGGTACAACATAGAAAGGCCAGGACTGAGATTCAAATATTAGATCTGTGATGCAGACATGCTCACCCCTAGGGCACTCGGCTGCCTATGAAATATATATCCAGTCATGCAAAATGTCAGTTTTCTATCAATCATTACCATTCAGTGTGTACAAACTAAAACTAAATCCCTGTGAGAACAGACTAGTGAAGTTCAAATAAAAGTCAGCGTTGGCGGGCTTCAACACCCCAAAAACGCATCATCTATTGTCTACCCTACATCGCCCGGTTTATCATTTGTGCAAGATGCAGCTGTGAATCAAAGGAATAAATCTTGGCCCCGCCCACTTTGACTCGGTAGTGGAGCACATGCAGGCAGGAGATCTCAGGCTACTTCTGCTAGTCTACAGACACTGGAGGGAATTGGGCTGTTGAGTTCATGACAGCTTCTTCTTGTTAAAAAAAAAAAAAAAAACACCCAAGAAAAAAAAAAACATGACTGCACTCAAACACACATGCATGCTCGTGAGCAAGTGAGAAGGCCAAGCATGCATGCCAAGAGGCAAACTATAGAAAGCTGACTGGCAGGGATGGAGTGAAAGAAAAAAAAAGGCAAGAAAGGACCCAGACAGAGATGGCGGGTTTGAGAGACAAAAGACAGGATGAGAGAAGGAGAGAGAGAGGGTGAGAACTAGGAAACAGAAGGAGGGCTTACAGAAAGAGGGTGGAAGAAGCTGCAATTTCTCGTGCAGATCTGAGAAAATCCAGCATAACGCTTTCAATTAAACATCAAACGTCTTCTCCTCTACTTCTCTCCTCTCATCCTCCCTTACTCCCCCTCTCTCCATTTTCTCGGAGACAGACAGCTTCATAAGCAAAAAGGGATGAGGGGAGCCTGAAGCAGGGGGGATGAGGAGGTCACTGCAGGGCTGCGTGTGCACGATGCGTGTGGCTGTCTGTGTGTGGTGGGAGTGCACGAGTGGGGTGTCTGCCTCCCACTAACTTGTCAACACGCCACGCCATTAAAGTTCCTCCCATTAGGATGACTTCTGGGTCGCACGCTACGTTTAAGCTCCGGCTTCTCCGACACGCTGTAGCTCTTCTTCTCACTCGCAAGTGATTTAGGTCGCCGGCCACTTAAAAATGTCATGTAATTTGCTCCGACACGGTGTTCACGGCTACAATAAAATGGAAGCTCTACGGAGCAAGTAAGTGTTTAAAAAAAAAATAAAAAAGTGTGTGATATTTCCTCCCACAAGGTTCTGCTGAGCTCTGCAACTCCGTGTTCGTTCACGCGCTTCGCTCTCTTTTTCTTCACGTGCTACAAAATCTCATCTTGCGTTTCCATGAGAGCTATTCTTTCTCATTGTCGACACTTTGCAGTAATAGATTGACAACAATTGCTTCTGACATAGCCCTCCCATAGAGCAACCCTCATTCAGCCTCTGGATAGAAAAATCTGAAATTTCACTGACACGTCTGGTTTTCTCCTTCACCTTGCACCTTTGCTATGCAGAATTTGCACATGCGAACAATGCATTCAGCGCTGTCCTATTGGCCACCTGAATTGTCAGCAAATATCTCATGCAGACTACTGAGGAGGACAAATCTATGTGTGGTTTCGGTCATACTTGATCTTCAACGCACGGGTAAAGATCCGAGCATAATTATACTCATAGTGCCGGTTTTAAAAGAATTGATTTCAACTTTTTAACTCTACTTGAAAATGATGAGATATATCCCTAAAATAAGATGAAAAAAATTCAAATAAAATAAATTCTTTTGTGTACAGTCTGTATGTTTGTTTGATACAAACACACAGCATTTTACAATGTAATAGAAAACAGAATTCTCATGAAAGTTTTTACAAAATGTATACCTTTATTTAAACATTTTAAAAAGTGTGATACTACAAGCTATTGGATTTTTTTTTTTGTGTGAGCCATAGTCAAATTGGATGGATGGATGATAGCAAAACAGAGCAATCGCTACATAGCTTGCTAGCTACATAGCTATGTAGCTAGCTAGCTACGTAGCTAGCTAGGTAGATAGATACTGTGTACTACTAGTTTTACTATTTTTTTCATGTGGCAAAATCATGGGAGCCATTAAAAACACTTAATCTCCTCGCCGATGAGCAACGTCACCTGGTGGCGCTTTTTTTATTGGCTGCCGCTGTATGACATTGCTTCTTGGCGACACGGAGTAAAATGACCACAACCCCCAGACGACACTTCAACATTCCTTGCAATAATATCAATATAAATACATTTAAAATAAACCCTAAAGGTTCATGTATTAAATTCAACAAAAAAAGAGGAAAACAAAGGACATTTTTGCGATAATTATTTTGTTTTTGTTTGTTTTGTAAAGGTAAAATGTAGTTTTCATTTTTATTTTATTTCATTAATGAAAATGTTTTTTTCAATTTTATTTCAGTTACTTACATCTTGATTGGACATCTCCCAGTAGGGACGTTCCCCATACGACATCACTTCCCACATGACGATGCCGTAACTCCAAACGTCACTGGCCGAGGTGAACTTCCTGTAGGCGATCGCCTCGGGAGCTGTCCAGCGAATCGGAATTTTCCCACCCTGTGACGCCATGCGAAAATATTAACACACACACACATTTTAGCAGGATTCATCCAACAGTGCATTTTTTTCTACATTTCAGAATCAGAATCATCTTTATTGTCATTGTATTGCATACAGCGAAATTTGGGTGCCACTCCTTAGTGCATTTTGTAAAAAAATTGAGTAAAAAAAAAACAAATTGAGTAAAATAGAATAAAATACTGTAAAATAAAATAACGGTTAAATAAATACAAAACTCAACAACACACATGGTTGTTTTTCATTCTATGGTCAAAAGCTTGTGTGTGTGTGTGTGTGTGTGTGTGTGTGTGTGTGTGTGTGTGTGTGTGTGTGTGTGTGTGTGTGTGTGTGTGCGCGCACACGCGCGAACCCGGGTGACTTCATTATCGAGCTTTCATTGCTAAGATAGAACATTTCCCGGGATGACTGCTGAGGCAAATGCGTTTTCAGTCAATGAGAAGTGAAATTAGCTTGATGCAGCATTGATGAACACAGCAGCAGGATATCTCCGGGTGTGATTATCTGAAGGGTGGTGGATGATGTTACTCTTTCAGTTCAGCCGAGGAAGCGTGAGTGAGCGCGAATGAGGGGAGAGCAAGATGTGCAATATTTGGTGCGATAGCAGCAAGGTTCAGTGCTAATTGAGTGTTGGAGAGGCCGACGCGAGTACTTAATTGTCCCTCTGTCTGCAGGAAGTTGGAGATTCCCCCCCGAAAGGATGCCACTCAGTCTGTGACACAGAGTTCATTAGAAAAAAAAAAAAAAAAAAAAAAAAACCTTCGGTGCTGCGTGGCCCTTCAATGTGTGTTTTTGACTGTCTGACATCACACAGTCTTTATATCGCGAACTATCATCGAGCTATAAGGTCAAACACCATCTGTACGTCTGAACTATTTTTCCCATTGTGACGTTTCCATGATAAAAACTGAACAGGTACTGTTTTAAAGTGAACATCCTGTATTTGGGTAAATTGGCCTTTTAATGGCTTGCATATTGGAGAGCCTCCCCACCAAGTGACAAGTGCGGAATTAAACAACCAAATATAAATATTCTCATCTAATGATGTGGGGTGGTGTCACAGATTTGTTATTAAAACACTGGGGTACTGTTTACATTTTTGATTGACAAAATGGCAACATTTAAGCTTTTGTAACGGTCATAAGTGTCACAATAAATTAAACCACTGTTAATCCATAAAACCTGAAAACCCCCCAATACAATTGTCTTCATTTTAAAGTGAAGGTAATTTGTGTTTATTATGAGATGGGCAGTGCATGAATGATGATGAAAATGTAAATCTGAGCGATAACAGCTATCGGCGAGTTTCCATCTGCGGTCCCTTGGCAGCTTGATGCAACATTTCAAGAATGAAAACAACTGAGATGTGTTGTTTTGCATCACATTTTTAACATTCAGAACAACTGTTACTGGTGTCTAGTATTAAAATAAAAAAAAAACAAAAAAACAACAACAACAACAAAAACCCAATAAAAGTTACGATTTTGATCAAATTTGACAATAAGTCATCGACACATGGAAATGGTCTTCGTGCGTTGCAGTTTCCGTTCTTCGGCCAATGGCGTATGTTCCATATCTTTTTTGTAACACCTCTTTTTGAAGCTGGTCCTCGGAATAAGTGTCAACAAATGTGCATGGTTAACTCTTTGCTACTTGACGAATTGAGTTCTTGCGGCTTAGTATGTGATGACGGACAATCGAGCTCCTGGGCTTTGTGGCATGTTTTTCCCGAAAATGTTTGCCCATTTCCAACTTCAGAGTTTCACCTTTATTCTGCTATATCATCAATATATCCCTCCTTTTCACTTCCTTGTTCAACTGCAGACAATGTCCATCTTTCAGCATTTCATTGCTATGATTTATATGTGTTTTGTTTTATTTATTGTGAACGGAGTAGTTGGTCAACTTTTGAATGTCACCTTGAGCTCTGGGACAAGCAATTTCTTTTATGTGAAAATGAAAACAAACTGCCAGACGCAAACCCGCTTTCCAAATCAAAATGCACAGCCTCACCCGTGTGGTGTAAGCAGCCTCAGGGTCGTCCTCCAGAACGCGGGAGAGGCCAAAATCGGACACTTTGCACACAAGGTTACTGTTGACCAGGATGTTGCGAGCTGCCAGATCGCGGTGGACATAGCCCATGTCAGCCAAGTACCTGCATTCATTAGTGAAAAGGAGAGCACTGGCTTTTAGAACGAAGCCATGGGAATTTCTTATCGATATAAGATGGTGTGTATGTGTGTGTGTGCACGGGCACCTCATGCCAGATGCAATGCCACGCAGCATACCAACCAGCTGGATAACAGTGAACTGACCATCATTTTTCTGGAGTCGGCACAGGAAAATGAATGTTAGTATGGGCGTAAAATGATCATCATGGTGACACGAAGCACACTTGTGTTGCTACACTTTGCAGTGATCTTTTTATTTCATGACCAAATTTTGTGTCTTTTGAGTCTGGTCGTGTAAATAGTCATTATTTACACGACCAGACTCCACTTCCAACAACAGGAGGGAAACTGTGTGTGTGTGTGTGTGTGTGTGTGTGTGTGTGTGTGTGTGTGTGTGTGTGTGTGTGTGTGTGTGTGTGTGTCTCTCTATCTATCTATCTATCTATCTATCTATCTATCTATCTCTCTATCTATCTATCTATCCATCCCTACTATGTAATGTGTCAGTCTAATTTTCCATCGCTTATTTATGGCTACTTTCCCACGAAAACATCATCAGAATAACGTCAGACTTCCAAAATAAGTTCGATGTTAAGCCTGATATATGAGAATGAGCATCGCGTCCCGCATCGTCAAAATGGTGCAACAACGAATCCGGCAGTGTCATTAATACTGTCCTCAGTACGGCAGCCATCCATGTAATCATGTAATAATGTACTTGACGGGCTTTGACGAGTCACTCTGCCTACTACTCCACCACTCCAGATATATATCTATATATATATATATATAGGGATCAAACCTGAACTGTCTTGATTGAACAAGGTGCCACTGGTACCTATGAAAAAGCTATCATGCACCGAGAACTTTCCCATCTGAATGTGCAGACAGATTGGACATAATTCCAGTTCACAGTCGTGCCAATTATGTGAAGCATGTGTGCACCAAGTGGGTACATTTCGGTTTGAATGTCTGAAGTTAACGAGGCATTTAGCTGGAATAATATAAGCTAATTGGGTGTATTGTCATTGCGGGTTGATCCGCTTTGCCAAGAAGTGTGGCGCAACATTCAACAAAATCCCCCTCATATTGCCTTTATTTATTTCTTTTTTTACATCCAGAGGAGTAAACACTTTCCCACTTTGCCAACAATTATCCATTTACTGATTACTTCACACTTTCAGTTAGTTGTAGCAATATTACTGGTCCGCTTTTTATTATTAATTCCCCGTTGCCTATATTTAGAGACATATTTACCCCTGGCTAATTTTTTTATTGTGTGTTCATATTCTCTTCCTTTTTTTCCCCCACAAATGTCTTTTTCCTACCTTAAGGAATGTGTCCAGGGATCCATTTTCCATGTATTCGGTGATGATCATCACCGGTTTGCCTAGAAAGGAAAATAAAAACCAACAAAACAAATTACTTACAGTAACTTCTTGCAGCTGATGTCATGTTATATTTTTTGAGACAGCAAATGACTTCAGACTGAATCAACAGTGCCTCTGCTGGCTGGTGGAAGTAATGCACAATATTTTGATGATGGTTTCACGACACCATTCATTAACAGTCAATCCCATACCATTTATCAAATCCATCACTCATCAATTGTGAGTGCTATCGGTACCATAAATAATTTTTAAAAAGTTTTAGGGAATATGAAGAAACTTACTCTTGGTGACCACGCCCTCCAGGTGAATGATGTTGGGATGGTTGAACTGCCCCATGATTGATGCCTCCCACAGGAAGTCACGTCTCTGATGCTCCGTGTATCCCGCTTTCAATGTCTTGATGGCGACCTGCATCTCCCTTTTCCCCGGCAACCTCAGTGGTCCGCTGCACACCTCACCAAACTCCCCTGAGGCACACAAACAGAGCGTCATTACATTGGCAGCCCACCTTGACCTGCAAACGTCGAATTCAAAGATACAAGAAGCTAAAAAACGTTGCCATTTTTTTTATCATTTTCTTACATCTTTTTGGAACTAAAATAAGCAGCCACCGACACATGCGTCAATATCATCGGCCGCATTGTCATGAATGATGACCTTTCCAACAGAAAATAACGACTTCATCATCAAATCACCATAGGTTGAAATGCAGAATATGTGTGGAGTGATTATAAATGACTTCACCGTCATTTTTTTATCATTATCCTACATATCAATCTAAATAACAGTACATTTGCAGGCCGTCAAAAGAAGAAGCTTGCTAACCTTTTAAGAGTTTGGTCGTTTTAATGAATCAGAAGCAGAATGTCATTCCTTAAACTATGAGATCAAAAGTAAATGAAGCTATTCCTGGGATACCCAATGGGGTGTTGTACGTCACGAAAATAGTGTCTGGACATATAAAAGATAAAATTACAACTCACCAGCACCAATGATCCTTTCAATGGAGATGAACGACACGTCAATCTCTTGGGCAAATTCATGCACTGCCTGGTTCGGGTCTTCATAGGTGAGGGGGTCAATGTAGGTACGCACTCCAGGGAACTTAACTGTAGACACACATTGAGACGCACACCGAAATGACGCTTAACCGAAATAAAGATAACAGTCGTTTGGAATACACTGTATATACCGGTATGTATGTTTCTAACATCAAAATATCTACCGGTACACTGTAAAGCTTGTATCACTAAGTCAAGAATGTCATAAGATAACCAATTGGAAAGTAGTAATAATTGGCATCCTTGCACCTCTGGAACTTATTTTGAAATCCAATCATCTGTAAGACTTTTATTTTTAAGGGTAATTTCATAAGATGCATTTGAAATGATATGACCAAGTTTTTAGATCATAGTTTGGGTCAATTTATGGTTTAAACCACTTATACAAGAACTTTAGAAGGATGTCTACTATCGAGATTTTTTTTTTCAATAGCGAGGGTTGGCATGCTGTCGGTCTATCATGAAACTTTTGTTTTTCAGTGTGACAGCAACACGCACTGGCATCATGGTGCTTCTTACGAGCCGACACGGCAGTCTCGGTCATCCCTAATTGCAACAGATGGGCTGCAGAACACAACGCCAACATGTTGCCAAATATATGAAGCTGTCAAGACGGACAAATGATCATCGCCATGTTTGCACTCGGCCAGTATGCCAACAATGAAAAGCCCTGGGGTTCTTTGAGTGGACTGTCACACAGACAACACATGAGCAGGGCTTGAGGGCTTCATCAATCCGTACTGACATGGCCACTCTTTCAACCCCGCACTGTAAACTGTTGATGACATATAATCTCACCCCTAAATCCAGAACGCACATACAAAAATAATTGGTGTCCAGTGAAACCTATTCATCTCCATTTACCAAAAACCAACAATGACTAATTGAAATTCAAAAGTCCCAATTGCAGAGATACGTATTTTTCCTTGAACAGTGACAAAACGCAAGGTGGCCTTACTGTGCCCATTATGAAAGTGCATTTTCTCCTCGTCAGGATCTTGCTTTGCTTTGCTGTAGCCACACCGCCTAGGAAAGAAAAGACATTGTAATTGTCGTACTCTGCTTTATATTCTCATTTTTCTGAAACTAAGTGTAGTTCAATATTTATAAAAGGTGTGCATTCAGTGGTTGAACATACAGTCAGTTGAAGGGCAGTGCGGTAGTTTTTTGGGATTGTCTTGTTTTTAGGATGTTAACCCAGCCGCTGGGGGGCAGTGCCCTCCCCTGGGGGTGCACTGTTCCCCAGTGCCGGTCCCAAGCCCGGAGAAATGGGGAGGGTTGCGTCAGGAATGGCATCCGGCGTAAAACTTTTGCCAAGACGACCATGCGAGTTGGTAGGACGGTTTACAGGGGCGGATGGAAATTACTGACTCGCTGTGGCGACCCCTGAATAGGGACGTGCCGAAAGGAGAAGAAGAAGTCTTGTTTTTAGGATGTTGTAACCAAATGCTTTCATTGCAAATGTGATGTATGAACAATTTATTCTCATCTTCATTTTTTCCGTGTATCCCAAAATCTCCCCAAATGTCCGCATTTGTGCCAATCCAAACAATTTCTCTGTGTCAATATTGACACATCCGAGCCATCAGATACAAACATCCATCCATCCATCCATTTTCAACACCACTCATCCTGAACAGGGTCGCATAGGGGGTTCTAGAGACTATCGCAGCTGACTATGGCTGAAAAGCTGACCTCACCCCTGAACTGATCGCCAGTCAGTCACAGGGCACACATAGAGACAAACATTTAACCATGGGTCAATGTTTATGTTGTTAGCTAAGAGTTAGCTGAGATTTTGTTTCTAGCTAAGAAACGTTACAGGAAATCAATCAACACAAATGTCCTTCTGAAATTGCAACCAGAGAAATGGACACTTTCGGTATGCTAATGCGTTCATATTCAAGCCAAGGTGCCTTCTGACGAGCAGACAGACTGGATTGCCATTAACATTCAAAACTTCTATTTTGTGCGTGCATGCATGCGTGCGTGCATGCATGCGTGTGTTTCGTATCTGCCTGGGGGTGTCTAGTTTTCCGGATCTGTTGAGTCAAGGGATTTGAGCATGCCCACTGCCCAGTGGCCACTCGGCCTTCAGACTTCCTGAATGGGGATGTCCGGGTGTATGTGTATGCATGTTAACTCTTGTGGACATGCATCACTGCGTATAAGTGTGTCTACACATGTATGTCCCGTTTCTATGTCAACGGATGTGAGTTCGCAGTCTGGACAGTTAAAATGGGGAAGGGATGGCCTGGGGCTTACAGTAGAATGGGGGCTGTGTGGCCCAAATTTAACAATGAACATTTTTTCCGGTCTCCGTCTTTTCCGCTTTGCCACATATGCACCATCCTTGAACACGTTTGATTTTATTTCTTACAGATCACCGCTCCGTGCACAGTTCACGCATATTTTGGTAAAATAATGCAGGTTCGGTGGAAATTACGTTTTTGAATATAACTTTGGGTGGTACGGTGGACGCCTTCATCCCCACACAAACTCGGGTTTACATGTGTTGATGATTGGGATGGATATTTGAAAAAAAATATGCGAATTAGCTGGCGATCTGAATTTTTTTAGATATTTCTAATACAGGATTGTTGGAAGAGAAAGAATACGTGACCTAACATTATAGCAAAGCCTAGATTTTGGATTACTGCTGACAAATGCAAGCATGTGAACATGTAAAAGAAGCCTAGGCTTAATTTATGCTGCGGGTTCACGCACCCAATTCTAAGTTAATGCCTGTGTTTGATTTTTTTTTTTGACTGTCTATTTCCATGTGCAGTGACACGTATTCGATATGGCTATGTGTAGATTCACACAAAATGAACAACCTACAAATTTCACGTAAAGAAGTCGGTGGGCAGTGTTCACAAAAGTAAGCAAAAATACATCCCTGACATGCCTCAATTATGCTGTGATTGATTTAAGGCATCGACATCTACAAAATAAAGGCATAAATGGGTCCAAAATGTCTTTTTTTTTTTCGATGCCCATCCCCGGTAGGTACTGTATGGTAGCCACGCTGTCAGATACACAACACAGTGGCAGAAAAGAGTGTGCCTCAGCATATTGTAGAACAAGGATCAATGATATTCATGAGTCCAGTGACAGTAAAGCATTGTGACCACAGCATCTGCTCGACTTGACCTCCACGGTGGATGCGGCTGAGGGCTGCAGGTTGTAGCCGTGATACTGATGGATGTGTCGGCTGCACTGCGAACATTCTTCACTGACCCTTTTTTTTAATAAACAACATACGTTTACCACTCCTGACCCGAATCCCCGATTCAGAGCGAATGAGATGAAGACTGCCTCATGAAGTCAGCAGCCGTGTCCGTGTGCTGCACATGTGCAACCTCGGTCTACTGTCGTACTTGTCAAAGAGCAACAAACACAGGTTGTCATAACAACTTCGGGCCGCAAATGGGCCTGACTACAATGACCTCACTGTAATCGTAACATAGATCAGTGATTTCCATCCAAGCACATGAAGTTGAGCTCTCAACAACGCAGGCAAATCCCTTGGTAAGCTTTACTTTGCTTAACCCTTTAACGACCTGCTGGAGTAGGACTTCAATCAAAAAATCCATTTTAAGGACCCTATGCAGATAACATGAAGATAGAAATAGTCACAATGCACTGTGCACGACACAACTTGTATTTTTTGTGGGCTTCAACATAAAAAAAGTTGGAACAGCTTGAAAATATATATTATTGACATTTATGGCAAACATTTTAGTTCACGCAAGAAAACAAGCAAGTATTTTGCTCCAAAATAATGTGCTGAGTTATTGTTACTTATATATTCAAGTTGGGGGACCAATACAAGGGACGATAAGGTTCTGTCTTATTTCTTTGTTGAAAATGCGGGAAAGCCAATTTTTTTACATTAGCAAAACTTCAAATATTTTGAAAATTGCCCAACTTAAATTTCTTCCAAAATGTGTTGCCTTGAAATTTTGAGATTTCTTTTTTGTTACAGTGCGGTAATATTTCATCCTTTCTGCAATATTTTTATGCAATGAAACAACAACATCAAAATAATACCAAATAATCCAAGTTGGGTGAACTCAAAATGACCAAATTTTAAATTTCACAATTCAACTACCGTATTTTCCTTGGGAGTATAAGGTGCACCGTCAATGAATGGTCTGTTGTAAAACTGTTTTCATATATAGGGCATCGCATTTTAAGGCACATTAAATAGAAGCTACATTAGTGGCTGTGGTTGCATTATACATCAGCTAGATGGAGCTATGCTAAAGAAAAGATAATACAAAACAGTACAATATAAGGTGCACTGTCCGCTTTTGAGAACAGTGAATGCACCTTATAATGGGGAAAATACGGTAAATATTTGAAGTTTTGCTGTTGTCAAAATTGGCTTTCCTGCATTTCACAGTAAAGACGTTAGAGCTTCCAGAAGTGTTGCCCTTTGTACAGACTGATAAATGCAACAACAACTCGGCAAATTGTTTTGGAACAGTTAACCTACTTGCTTTGTCATGCTCACTCACATCATTGTGGTAAATCATTAAAGTTCCAACTTTTTTTTTTTTTTTTTTTTTTTTTTGCGTAAGTGCAAGTAAGTAACAACAATACTTTGGCTGTTTTAAAATCAAGGATTGCATTTCGTTATTACAGCTCAAATAAAATAAAGAGAACTTTATATATCGCTTGCTAACGGATTATCCGTCAAAGTAAATTGATCGGGCAACAGACTGTTGTTCCCTTCTCTATGTAATAGGAAATTCAAACAGTCCCAACCGTGTGTATTCAGACTACAACTTCATTTTGGCTGCCTTACCGTCCGCTAAGTAGAAATCCAGCCACGGCTGCCAGCAGGACAAGCGCCAAAGTGATGGCCACTGCTACTATGGAAGCCTGGGCACGTTCGCTGGTTGCTGTTACTGCCAATGGAAAGAGATAAAGAAAAAACAGGACTAGATATACAAACATATTCACTTGGACCGTGTTACTGATACAGCTTTCAAAAACAGAGTGCAGTCAAGTACAGGTGTGAGGTTTTTGTATTGCCACGCTTGCCCACTCAAGCTTCCACTCTCACTCCCTCATCCAACAGTTCTCTGTGAACTCACAGTAAGGGCTCGTCTGGAATTCAAAACGCCGGCTAAAAGCACCGTAACCTGCAGACGTCCTGGCTCGCACCTGGAATAAACAAGGCACAGGTCTCAACATTGGATTCTCTCAAACAATATACACGACACAAAACCAAACTGTAGTTATTATGATTTACCGTAATACTTTTTGACATTCATAGCATAACATGTACATGCATACGAGAACGCGAACAGTTGAGAAATCCAACAAAATCCAACCACACCGTCAACAAACGGAGCCAATAGACTCTGAAATATAAACGCTTGCTTATCATTTTTTTGACAGTCTCCTGTCTTTGTATTCTCAGAGCTCAAGTGGCCAGGGCAAACCGCTTTTTGGTTAACCAATCATGCCGTGTCAGTTGTGGTTCAAAAAAAGTGCAGTTAATGTGGTGCCATTTTTTTAAATTAATTAATTAATTTTTTAATTTATTTTTTGTGGCTGTCCAGTAAAGTGGAACTAAGAAGGGAAAATGATTATTTGGTGGTTTCTGGTGAACGTGGAGTCCACATCTAAAATAACGTCCAAGACAAAACATCAAGACATTCTTAATCGGACTGCTTTTTGGTGGCTGATTTTAGACAACTACGGTACCAAAAAGTGTAAAATTAATGTCATATTCAAGTTGTTAAATGACGCTGATTTGCACTGGAGAATGCTTTTAATATCCTGACCCTGTCATGAAGCTAAATCAGGTAACGATACGGAAACAGAAACATCTCTCAAGTATGATGCAGTGAAGTTTGGCACGACAAAGAGCAGAGATGATCCGAACTTGATCCAAATACAACTGTGACTGTTCCCAAAGAAAACCAACAGAAGCATGGAGAGCGTATGTGAATTCCACACAAATCAGAGATTTTAACCGCGAACTTTCTGACCCTGTCATGAAGCTAAATCAGGTAACGATACGGAAACAGAAACATCTCTCAAGTATGATGCAGTGAAGTTTGGCACGACAAAGAGCAGAGATGATCCGAACTTGATCCAAATACAACTGTGACTGTTCCCAAAGAAAACCAACAGAAGCATGGAGAGCGTATGTGAATTCCACACAAATCAGAGATTTTAACCGCGAACTTTGGGATTGTGAGGCAGATGGGCTTGAAAAAAAAAAAAAGTGGACCCAGTTTGAAAGCTTCAAAGAAATTGGATATTCTGTGTTTCAGTGTCTTTTCACTATCAACACTCACTTTTAGCCCTTACATAACAGCATTTAATTATGCTATAATTATACTGATATGTTACCTGAACTTTATTTAAACGTTTTACAACAAAGAAAAAAAGCCTGAGAAGGGATTTTTTTTTTTCTATTATTTCTCATGGGGAAGATTCATATGAAGTGTGAACCAATTGATCAGCCTCCTGGAACAGATTGTCTCCTGTCAGCTTCTTTTATTGAGTTCTACTGAGAACACGCTGACTTGAACCCTTTTCCAAATATCTTTGGCTCATATTATTCGTCCAGCACAGTATTATTTCCGAGGGACCATTTGTCTGAGTTATACGTCACTTCGAATAAGCTAAATCTTTGCTCGCGCTTATTCGCCTTGCGTATTTTCCCCTCATGTTTCTTTTTCATGTCATCTCATTATCATTAATCGATGTCTTTATGGATTTTCGAAGCCTGTGTCCAACCTGGAAGATGTAGACTGAAGAGGGTTTGAGACTTTCCACCGCCATCTCCGTCTCCCGGGATTTTATTATCGTGTAGCTAGAGTCCTGCTCCTGTTGGGAGAGAAAGAGTTACTGTGCACATTTCAGACATCTATCTTGTACGACTTTTTTTTTCTTTCCTTTTTTTGGAGCACTCCATAAGCTTTGTTAGAGTGTGTGTTACACCCATGTGTAAGGATCAGTTTCCCAAGTGTAACCTCATCAGGTTTAAACAAGGCTAAATGCCCACTCCATTAGCCAGAAACCATTAGCTGACCGACGACCACAAACCTTGCCTCTCTCTCTCTCTCTCTCTCTGGTATACTTTTATTATGACCTTCTCAGAAAAGAATGCATACAGGGATGAAAGGAAGAGACGGAGAAGGGCGCAAGATCCCCGAACTGAGCTGAGGCGTCAAATTGCTCTCTTTAGCAATGTCCGCCTTTAAAAACAGCTTTGAGAAAGCGAACGTTATAAGCGAACGTTATTTTCACAAGGTGCCATTTCAGTTTATGTTCTGCATAAATGGCAGCGCATAGACTAATATATCAAAGGACGAAAAATACATTTTGTAGAAAACTGGATGTAATTAGGTGTCCATATGTCGACAGCTATCGTGTGGCCAGTGAGAGCATGTTGCATGACAAACATGCACCCAAAATGATCGGTAGACCTCCACCGTTGGACAAAATTGCGGACAGAAATGCGTACAGCATTAGCTTGCTAGCAATACCTTCTCAAAATACTTGATTTCATATTCCAGGATGATGCCGTTCGGTCGGTCCGGTTCGGCCCAGGAAAGTGTGATGCTGCTCTTGCCAGCGTGACCTTTTCTCACCACACTCACCGGGGAAGGTGCTGCGTGCGCACACACACACACACACACACACACACACACACACACACACACACACACACACACACACACACACACACTATAAAATAAAACCCC